AAAGAATGATTCACCACGGCCACAACAAGAGAAAACAAAACCTCCAACAAGCTCCTTACTACAGACATCAGAAACTCCTGCTTGAAGGCAGTTTCTAGAACTCCAATCTAGCTTCAGTTTTCTGAAATTCTTAGAGACTTCATTGCATGAAGATAGTGCAGTAGTTGGATCTGAATAATAAAATTGGAAATAGTCACCAGTTCTGATGCCACCTCCATCAGCAAAAAGGTACTCTTGATCTCCTCTGTTGACAAGGAACCAGCTCAATAAGAAGAGTATATTTGAAACTGGTCTGCAATTGTGAGCTTTAAACCAAGCAAAAGGAAAAAACTCCCACATCCAAATTTATTGTTTGTTATGATACTAATATTGTTGGTTCTAGCACTTGTGCAAACTGCACTAAAGTAAACCAATTCAATTTTCATCAGCTGTTTTGGTTATAGATTCAGAAACGCTTGAGAGTATAGCATTTCAGTCATTGTGAAGGAATCCAGAGTAAAACGGAATACAAGAAAATAATGCATGAATCTCTTAAAGTTTGACAAGGTGAGTGATGAAAGTAACAGACGCTTCATGTTTGATAAATTCTTCCAAGCGCATGGTGAATGTCTGTAAGAAAAAACAAGGCCAATTAAAATTATGAAAGTTAAACATCTCACCCCATAACTCCATGGAAAACCAGGAATGTCATCACTCTTGACTTCTCTGACCCAACAAGGCATTTTCTTTGTTCAGTAACTCCAATGTACAGGTCAGGGCGTCCAATTTGGTTCACCAACTGTCACATATTTATACTTTTAAGAGAGAACAAATGCAATGAAAATTCTATACATTCAATCAAATATAATATAATAAGAGATTAATAACAATGAAACACCACTCAAAAACCAATGTACAATTTTCTTTCTTGTCCGGAGCATAGAAAGTAGTTAACTTTCTTTAAGACAATAACATAAATGTCAATGCAAAGCTAAAAACTAAAGAAAACCTATAATTAAAAGCAGAAAACAAACATACACTCATCTTGGCAAACAACTTTTAAATGTAAGATTAAGAGCTCTATTATTAACATTTCAGATTATAAGAGTGTATGCAGCAAGAAAACTCTAGTAGAGTAAAATCTAACATTAATTGAAACACAGTTTAGTTTGGATACTATATCATTGCCTAATAAGCAATTCCAATCTGGAAAATAATTTTTTTTTTTAAATCCTTGTATAACCTTTTAGACATGTAATTTCTGAAACCAACATTGGACCACTTCAGAAAATAGGCTATTCAGAATAATAGTGAAACAGTATATTTAAGAATCAAATTCCTTTTTTTTTTTTCTTGTTTAACCCAGAAGTGAAATAAGCTTTTGACTTGGAAATTGCAAATATCCTATCATATCAAGGAGCCATCTCCACATCACCAATTTAATATCTATGAACTACGATCATGATGCAGACACTTTGAAACCCTAGAAATGGACTAGTTAAAAATAGGTAAATTTGGAATGGAAGGAAACCAAGTGCATAATGCAGTATACATAAATAAAGCAATAATAAATATAATTTCCAAGTGACTGACCTTAGCCAAACCAGAAAAGATACCAGAGAATATGATTTCTATCTCGTTTTTCAACCACATTAATGTAACAGATACATCATAGTCGGTCAGAGATAATATGATCTGAGGTTGTTAAACTAAACAAAAGTTTGTGTCTGGCTATGCATAGATTCACGCAACAGTAAAGTAAAGCCAATTACTCAATCCCAATTAATTTGAGCACTAAAACAAACAGAGAGATCTTAAACATCAAAATCTACAAATATATATTTCTAAACACAGATCTTAAACAAATATCATAAATAGATTATGTAAACACTACAAATAAAACAGGAGTTAAGAAGTCACCATAAGCAAAAAAGAATGGGTTTCCAAAAGAAAAACATACCTCGTTGTTGATGTCATCTAGAATCCTTTGACCATCCTGAATCTCTTGTTCCCCTTCTCTTCTGGCAGTAAGCAATGTCGTACGACCTGTCTCGGATCCAATATTTCTAACAGAAACTGCCTTGTACCTTGGGCCTATTGCAGAAACACCAGATGACAATGCAGCATGGAATTGGATTTCCCCTGTGCCTGCTCAATAAGTGAGAGCAGCAAAGGTATGAGAGAGCATGTCATGTGATTCGATAATGAAAAGGTCTGTACATTGCCAATCCATTTTAGTTACAAAAGATGAAATAGCAAAAACAGAGATTAATAAACCGATACCACAAGGTTTGTCTCGATCCCTTGCAAATACAAGAGCAACTGCAGCAGGAAAATATTCACTGCTCCCATAGTCATTTCGGGACTCTATGCCACTTCGGTACAAGAATTGGGCTCTCTCATCACCAACAATGACAGTATCCCTTGACATGGCATGATCTGCAACATACAACATATTATCAACTTTAAGAAGCAGCACAGGAATTGCTATGTGACAGTTTTTGATGTCTAGCAACACTTTCAAAACCTAGGACAAGAATTAAATAGCCAATTACTTTATCAGCTAAACGAATGTGTTTGCTTAGTCCACTATCTAGTGAGTAACCAAACAGATAGGATTAGTGACAAACTTGTACATTCTTAAATAATTTATTGCTGCAGGTGAGCATGACAGAAAAGGAATTGTCTCTCATCAACCTCTGAAGACTCTTCCAGAAAAAAAAATTGAACAAACAATAGATGCAAAAATGCCTTCCTTTTCATAATATTTGGTTTCAGAAATGTATAAAATATGAACTCTCAGATCAATGATGCCAATTAAATGCACAATTCGAATTAGCAGTGTTTGCCATGTCAGGGGTCCCAAAAGTTAAAATTTATGTACTCTTCGTTTGCCACATTTTCTGGAACAAAACAAGCCTTGTTCTATATTTTCCTATGAACAAGAACAAGCATAAGAAGAAAGAAAGTTTCCTTAGTTGAGAAAACTCACCCAGCTTTTCCATGACAGGTTTCTGGTCAGCACCTTCATCCTATAGCAGGACCAAAATCACATCTTAGCAAGAATCTCACTCAATAAAAGGATGTGCAAGCAAGTTGGAAAACATTATCTTACTCCAAACAGTATTATCCCAACAGGTGATGCCCAACCAGAAACAGAAGCTGCATAATCCCTAATATTCGTCACAAAGCAATCAACCAAAGCTGGTCTATGTACCTGATTTCATATCAGCAGAACATAATAAAGATCAGTTAACTTATTGACAACAAATTCATATAGCGGCATGTGCTACACATCACATATGGCAAATCAAGCTTACAGCCACAGAACCATTCAACTTAGGGCGATAGAAATGAAGAATCCTATAGAGAATATCATTTTCCAAACTGAGGTCTAGTTACCTTTCTTGGTTGTAACAGCGGGATGACATCAACTTTTAGTCCAGGTAAAAACCCCACAGTCAAAATGATACCAAAGCATGAATTTGATTCTCCATCAGCCCAATATTCTTCCAACATAACCTACACAAGCACACATTTATTAGAATGAAGCCAAAAAAGTAGTCTTTCATATTTCTTAGAAAGAACTAAAGTACTAATCTTTTACAGTGCTGACCTCTCTATGTTCACCGGTAACAGCATCTCTTCCCATGATTCCACTTGCACAAGACACAATAATGGGAGTTTGGGAACCAAGTTTTGTTGCTAACTACAACACAAAACCATACAAATCGACTCAGCATCAGATTGACCCAAAACAAGAAAACCAAAAATTGCCGGATGATAATACTTTGGCTGATGATAAATCTTACAAAATCAAGTTTTTCTCTCAGATCAACTCCACTGCCAATAATATTGGCAATAGCAAAATGAGGTCTAATGGGGGCAGAGAGAACCTTATTGACAACCTCTTCAAATGCAACCTGTTTGATCATCAAAAACCACACAGAAAAAAAACCAGATTCAAGTTAGAGGCTTTACATTACACCGATGATCTTTTCTTGATTTTTTTAAGACCCAACAAGAGTCTTCTAATGCAAAATATTGATATCATCGAAAAAACACAGAAACCCAATTCAAGATAGAGACTTTGCGGTAAAGTTATGATCTTTATTTGGGTTTTTGAAGACCCAACCAACCTTTTCGTTTGGATTGAGAGAAAAAGCAGAGGCAAACTTTGGTTTGGAGAGGATTTGATTGCAAATTTGATTCCATGATTTGCTAACGCAAGCTGCTGATGCAAAGGATGAAGCTGGTAGTCTCTTTACTATGTTTTGTACAAGGTCTTCGTTTATGGATGCAAAGCTTGTCATTGGCATTTTGGGTTCTTTCGGTTTCTCCTCCATTGTTGTGTTATCAGAATTCTCCAGCAGTGGCCGAAAGTAAAAGGCCTTTTAACGACTGGTCAGTTGCATCCGATTTAAATTTCTACTTTGTTCTGCAATGCGTGCAAACGACTGGTCTTTCGAATCTGATTATCGTATTTTGTTTTGTTTCTCATTGCATGTAAACGACTTGTCATTTGAACCTATTGAACGACAACTGTTTTAGTGCGTTTCATTGCACTGTTGTTGCAACTGTTACTGAGTTGTAGCTAGAAAGTTGCAACGAACAAGGGTCAAGCTACTTTCTAGCCACTTTTCGCATAGCAAGGCAGAACATCCACTTCCACACATGCACATTCTTGTTTTCTGTCAAAGGAGGTAGATAAGTGTGCGTTAAATTGTGAAGGGGCATGAATTGGCCATAAGAACTAGGAACTAGAGGCTTTTCGCTTCTTTGTAATTCTCAAATTTTCTTTTCCTGAGCAATCATGTAATTCTTTCGCTTGAGTGTATTTCAAAGGCAAAACTTTTAGGCAAACCAGATCATATAGAAAAGGAGTCATCCTCTCCAATTTAGTTCCACATTATTATGCATACAAACATCCACTGGATGAAAAACTAAATAACTTCAGCCTAATTATACTGACAAGTAAGAACCTGTCCAACTCCTCTAATGCAACATCCTTGCTATCCTGCTAGTCCCAGCGATACATTTGCAATTCTTTTCACTGTTACAGAATTGCTTCATGCTTGTCTCCTCATAGATATTAACTCTCTAAAGGTGGTGGAAGATATGACATAACCAAATATATTGTGCTGTAAACATGGACGCGGCATCGAGGGGAGGTTTCGTCTTCATATTCTTCGTTCATCAAGCTTTTGGGGCCCCTTCCTATTTCTCCTCTGCAGAATAATCCTGCTACTGGAGCTGTAGGAAAGTTGTTGCAGAATGGGTAGCTATCAACAAAAGTGTCTCCGAAGAATGACTCACCGCGATGATAGCAAGAGAAAATGAAACCACCAAGCACTTCTTCCTTATCGTCCTTGTCAGCTAAATTGCTCAAACGAAGATAATTTTTGCTTTTCAGTTCTGCCTTCAGAGCTAGAAGTTTTTTGAAGGCATGGTCACATGATGATGAAGCAGTAGCCGAATCTGACTGGTAGAATAGGAAGGAATCACCAGTTCTGATGCCGATACCATTGACAGTAAAGTAATATTCTCCTCCTCTGTTAATGGCCAAGAGAAAACACAATTAATCTACATATTTTCTGCTACTGATGATCAAAGAAATCCTGAACATATAATCTGGACAAGATATCTTTCTTATCGAATAAAAAAAATATGAGACACAGCAGAGATAGAAGCTGATCACTTATTTTACCCTATGACTTTGTAGAAATCCAAAGATTTTCCTGGTGTCAAAATCCCCGAATCACTGGTGCGATGAGTTTCTTTGGTGACACCAATGTAAAGATCAGCAAACATATCTGCTTCCCTAAACTGTAACAGATTCAATAGGTTACTTAAGGAAGAAAATGAGCTTTAAAACAATTTAACAATGAGACACTCTCCTTCAGAAGGAAACACTCCACTTTTTAGTTAGATTTACAGTAATCAACCAAGAAATTTCTAGGTTATATGTCTTAAACTCAACAACGAAATCAAGATCTCTAAAATGGTAAAAAAAGATGATATTTATTTAGAAATCAAAATAGCCATATAAAAAACAGCACAATTATTCGAAAAAAACAGAGAAGAAGGAGAACCTGTTGTTCGATTTCGTTTAAAATCTCCCCGGCAGCCATAATGCCATCCTGTCCTTCCAATCTTGCAAACAGACATGAACGCTCTGAATCTTTTGGTACAACACAAACTGCCTTTAGCTCGGGACCAAATGGTAGTACACCTGTTGACTTTGTGACGTGGAATTGAATTTCTCCTAAACCTGCTCAACCCAAAAGGCCAGAAAGGACTCACCAAAGCAAATTCATAATCTTAGGCGAAAAGGGCAGCAACAGAAAGGTAAAATGATGCGTCTAGCATATTTTGGAAGCTCCAAAAGTATGATACCAGCTACGTCATTTCTAATTTTTAAGTGAAGCACATGGCGTTAGTTTTAGCATAATTTGCTTCAATTCATACAAATCATCAAGTACCTTCAGGCTTGTATCTATCCCTTGCAAATACAAGAGCAACAGCTTGAAAGCAGCATGTATACACGAGTTGATTTAAAGAATCATCCCCAGTTCTGAAAATGAAGTCGGCACTTGCATCGCCTACAATGACTGTTTCTTCTGGCATAGCACAATCTGCTAAGTTGAAATGTTATAAGCAATGTAGTACAGATGTGAGCTACGCCACAACTAGAACTCTGAACGCCGTACATGTTATTGTTAGCTAGAAATGCTACAAATGAATGAAACAAGCCACCTTATACCACAAATATGTATCTGGTAAGGTACTTACCCATCTTTGCAACAATAGGTTTCATGTCAGTGGTTTTGTCCTAGACAATCAACAATGGCACATGTTATAGCAACCAAAGAAATTTAATAGAATTTTAATTAAAAGCTTATACAAGGACGCCAACTTACTCCAAACATTATGATCCCAGCAGGGGCTGCACAATCTGAAACAGCAGCTGTGTAATGTAAAATATCCATCACAAATTTGTCAACCAATGTATTGGATTCCTGATGATGGTGAAAAATGTTGCAAGTCAGTAATCCATTTAGTGGACAAACAACAAATAATAGCTCTCATACTTCAAATTCAACGTCATAGCACTTTATGCTTCATTGAGTATGATGGCCATTATTCCCAATGCATTATTATATAAGATGGGGGATTCCTGAAGATATTGCTCTCCATTAAGCACAAAGAACCTTACCTGTCTCGGTTGTAACAGCGGAATGGTGCCAATTTTAAGTCCAGGTAAAAATCCAACGAGCAGAACTAGTCCTCTTTCAGCTGTATCTGATTCTTGGATATTAGGACCGGAAGTTGTTTCCCATTTTTCCTGCATATTAATTCCATAAGGTTTGGCATCACCACCAACAGAAATTTTAATTAATTTATATAAACATGCTTATGAAATCATCAGAAAAACACAAACCTCAAACAGTTCATTAGCAATGCCATCGACACCAATGATCCCACTGGAAACATTAGTAATTATTGGGATTCTTGAACCCAGTTTTTCAATTATCTGCATGAAAGACCATAGGTAATGAAATCAAAATTCTATTCTGATTGGAAGAGAAAAGTGGGAATCTTGAGCATATTAACCAAATACAATAATATGAAAGATTCAGAAGAGAATTATTACCAGTCCATGAGCCAGTTCCAAGTTGTACTCTTTGCTAATGCAGGCAATAGCAAAGTGTGGACGAATAGGCTCAGCGAGAACCTGCTCAATGACCTCTTTCACAGCATCCTAGCATCGTAGCACAAAAGCTAGTGAGCTCCATTTGGTTTTGTTTGGTAAAACAATGGAGCACAAGGGAAATCTTGAAGATTTCTATCCTCTTCATTTTGGTTAATCTTTAATTTCATTACCACTATTCTCTTCTTCGGTTTCTTAAGAAAACTTTGGTTAGCCGTTACAGTCCAGCCATGCTTGCATGCACGCGCATGCAAGCATGTGCTATCCCCATAAACGCTGACTGAAATTGGACAATCTCATCAGCACATGATTCTTATATTTTTCTTAGACCTGAAGGAACAATACCAATTCCTGCTGCGCGTGCATTAGACACGACAGCGAATATGTTCTACGAACATGTATGCTGACTGAAATTGAACAATCATATCAGCAACAATGAGGTTCCTCGTGTTTCTCCAACCGGACGAACAATTAATACCAATTCCTGTTGCACGTGTATGACACGCAAAGCAAATATGTTCTATATGCTGACTGAAATTGGACAATCTCGCCAGCCTCCTCCCGTTTCTCCGATGGAGGAATAATTTTTACTATATATATTTTTATATTTTAAAAGTAATTTTTAATTTGATTTTTTATTTGAAATTAATATTTTTTATATTTTTAAATTATTTTAATACACTGATATCAAAAATAACTTTTTAAAAATAAACATTTTAAAAAATAACTACAAATATATTTCCAAACACTATTAATATTAATTATAAATGCACGTGAATAGCACGTAGCGACACACATACACACGTGTATATATATAATGGTAAAAAAAATTTTGTTTTCTCTATCTAAAAAATCAATTTTAGTTACTCATGTCATATATGTGTTCATGAATATATACATGTTTATAAACATATACGCTAATAATATAATTTTTTTTATTTTTTTTGTTTAAAAAAATAATTTTTGTTGCACCTGTCATGTAATTTTGTTTTCTCTATCTAAAAAATCAATGTTAGTTATGCATGTCATATATGTGTTCACGAATATATATATGTTTATAAACATATATGCTAACAATATAATTTTATTTATTTATTTTTTTTTTAAATAATTTTTGTTGCACGTGTCATGCATGTGTATACAAATATATTTATGAATATATATGTGTTAATGATATTATTTTTCTTGTTTTCTTCATCTTAAAAAACAATTTTATTTTGCGCGTGCATCACACGTGAATGCGAAAATGTTTACGTGAATATATTTGCTAAATGAAATTGGGCAATCATATCAAAATCAATATCATTTATCTTGTTTTCTCCGACCAAATGGATACACAAACAAATTTCAGAACTGGAATTTAACAAAAAAATAAGAAAGTGAAACAACTTACATGGAGAGAAGGGTTGAGGGAGAGAGCTGAAGCAAGCTTAGGCCTTTTGAGTATTTGGCTGCATATTTTGTACCAGCGTTTATCAACGCAGGCAGCATACGCAAAGGTCAAAGCCGGTAACCTTGAGAGTATATTTTGTACAATCTCTTCACCCACCAGAGAGAACCCGCTCATCCTTTTTCCTGATAGCTGCGTAGCCATTTGAGTATGTGATATATGTGAAGCCCACGTATTGTTTTGCATGGAAAACATAGGAGGGGTGCTGCCTGTTTTATACTTGGTTCGATGGTGGAGCAATTCAATTTGAAAAAGAACTTATCTTTTCCAAATCCTGTTGCAATTAAGGGCATTAAAGGAGATTGTGATTCTTTTCCTTTATTGGCTTATGGTTTTGGATTCTCTGAATTAAATAGGTTTTGGTGTTTTGTGTCACCAACAGCGCAGCTGTTTTGCTTGTTTAATCTGTTTTCATATCCCACTTTAGTATCCATATTCATTGCATTGTTTGCTCATATTTTTTACATATTCCTCACAAAGGTAAAGACTAATGAGCATTAATATATATATATATATATATATATGGTGGAGGTTGGCTTCCTTTTTTTCCCTAAAAATGAACCTATAATAAAAGTTACAAAAGCATTTTCCATGAATTTTTTCAAATGATTTTGGTGTCATTTCGGAGCTAGGGTTAGAAAATGATATTGAATTAAGGTTGACCATCAATGCATAAAAAATTTCAATAGCTAGTATTCTAGATCTCTCATTAGTTGCATTTGGTCTTCAAACCAACTTTCTCAAGTATATAGTAGAATTACTCTTCCTTAAGGCTAGATTATAATCTTTTCTTCCAAACACCCCGTCCAGGGATGATAGTTGTGTATTCTTTTTATAGACAAATAGCTAGAAACTTATTTTAATTAACATGGTTTAAATAAATTATAAATAAATGAGAAATAAATTTTAAAGAACTTTTATTTGTTCTAGATTTAATTCTTAATTTATTATGGTTAATTAAAGGCTGGTTAATAACAATGAGAATTAATTTTTACTAATTTTTCAACCTTTTAACTTTCAAAATTCACAATAAAAATAAGAGTGAAAAAATAGCTTTCCATTTGAATTTTTCATATTCTTTCTAACCTTATATTTTAATGTTTTCTTTTTATTTTAAGCTTTGGTTTTCTTTCAAAATCTAGAATTTAGATTTATTTTATTGAGAATTGTTTGAGTTTTATATTTTATTTTTTTGTTTGAAAACCTTATGTAAAAGTACATCCAAATCAATGTTGTGATATTGTAATATTGTAGACATCTTAGCTACATAAGTGAGAAGTAATAAAGTTATAAGAACAAAAAATTTATTATTGACAACAACAAAAGTCTTATTATTTTAAAGTGCTTCAACAATTAAATATCCTCCTTTATTTTAATTTAATCATTGATATTTTTATTATTAGTATGTATGCTAGTACTTTGAATTAATAACAATTATAGTATAGATATATATTTAGTATATATACTAGTGTTCTATTGTTATATTTGAGTTGAAATCATGTTTTATATGGGTTATTATTTTACATGCTTATAAATTTAAATTTGTATGAATTCTAGATTTTTTTTAAAAATATTTTTATGTTTAATATGTCTTGTTATAATAAACTAAACATCATTGTTCACTAGTCGAATATATTTATAAACTTTGGACCTACATAAACCTCATTGTTATCCCCTAATATATTACCTAATATTCTCATTTCATCTCAATCAATTGCTTTTCTATCGATTTTGATCCAAATCTATTTAGAAATTAGATAGTATTGACCAATTCCAAGACCAAAATACAAGTAAAAAGACACATGTTTTGTTCATGGAAAGATAACATTGGCTAATTTTAAATAGATTTGAAATAAACTTTAGGACCTAACAAATTAATTGATTTTATATTATTTGATATTATATGACCTTGAAATTGAAGTAAGTTAAGGAAATAAATTTATATATGAATCCCTATATCGATCATTATAGTTATAAACTTATTACAACAGGATCCCAAATTTTATTATAAAAAACAACATGATTCTAAATGAGTTAATTAGTTTATCAGAGGTGATATATTAGGTTCTAGCGAGTTCATAAATGTAAGATAGTAAAACTATATAGGTTCAAGGAGCTATACTAAATGAATTTTTCCCTACAAGAAATAGATTTTTTTAACAATGACATTATCTCACTAACAAAACTATGATTTTTTATATTTGAAATAGAAAAGTTGTTTTTTATTTTGAAAATAATTATTCTTTAAACATGTTGAGCTAGTTGTTAATATATAATTTATGTTGGATACTTGTGCTTTAACATATATCAAACACAAAAGCCTTAATCCATTATATTATCGAAGGAGGCTATGTGGAATTTTGACCTTTTCAATTTGTTTTCCTAGCATCTACTACATCTCAGCAATATCACTGTATATCAATCATCATGCATGTTTTGCTTATAGTTTATTACAACAGTCAACCTATGTAATAACTTAAAAGAACTAATTGTATATTTCATTTATAATTATCTAGACTAAATTGACTAGAACTTTAATACACAATGGGGAGGTTTATTACAATAAGGACTAAATTGAAATTAAAGAAAATTTTTGGTGACCAATTTAAAATGGTTGGACCTTCAATGACTAATCTAAGAATTGCCAAACTTCATGATTTTTAAATCTAAAACCTAGTGGATTTGTATATATTAAACCAATGTTAATTCAAAATTTAAACAAAAAGAAAAAAGTAACCAATTGACCCTTTATAAATGACCCGATTAAATTGATTTTATTGGTGGATGCCAATTATATTCGATCATAAAGCCATATGTTCTAATTTAAAAAATCAAGTAATCTATATCTTTGATATACTAAATAAATAAGAAAAAAAACTTTAAAGCCTTCATATATAACTTTAGCCTCCTTCAACTAATCCTTCTTTTTTCCTCTCCATTATCTCTCCAAATTTAAGGTTTATTCTCTAGTTTGTTACAACTCCTCCCCTCATCAAAGTCATTGTTCTCAAGGTGAAGATATGCTTTTGTTAGCTATTTTCTTGACATCCAAACCACATCTTTATCCTTTTTTCCATTCCAGTATATTAAAACTTCATTAATCTTACCTCTATGATTTGTCTTTTATCTTTGACTAAGTATTTTTTTATATTATGGGTTAGGTAATCCTTCTTAAAAAAATAGTAAATCCTAAACCATTTATGTATAATCTCCAATTCTTTTCTTCAATTGAGAAACGTAGAGAGCTAGGTGAAATTTTATTCCTTTGGGAAATTTTAATTGGGAAGCCACAACTTTAACCTTTGTATTTAAAAAAGCCCACATAATTTATACTCTAATTTTTTTTATTTCTTCTAGTTTGCATGTTGAGTTGACGATATGATTGGAGCTTCAAGTACACCCAATCATCCTTTTCAAATGCTTTTTTTTACGTGCTTATATGTCTATGATTTTTTTATATCTTTAACTTTTAATGGGTTTATTTTAATGTTTTATAATATGTTGGTTTTATCTTTGAGAAGATTTGCTATTATATGATTATGAGTTAATCTTGGTATATAGTTAATTAGTTAATTAGGTTGGTCGAGTCATATATGCAGAGGGCTTTAAAAAGTATCTCCTGTAAGGATAGGTGAAAATAAGAATGATAATTTCACCCGAATTTGATGAATACTAACTCAAATGGATATGAGGTTTTTTTTTCCCATTCAAGTTTGGGTAATACCCAAACTAAAAAAGTTCAATTGGAGTAGGGTATGGATATTACTTGCCCGACCCAAAACCTAACCCGTACAACATAAATAATCTTAAAATTTGAAAAAAAAATACATTTATACCTAGCATATATAAATAGAAAGTTTAGGGTTTTGTTCACACATATTTTCATCTCTAGCATTTCAACTCTGTAACTGTCTTTTTTTCTACCTTTTAAATTGCTCTCTCCTTATTATTTATTCGCTTTTCTTAGTTTAATTTTTAAGCAAATTTGTCAAAGTATATTATATAAGTAGTTGTTGCTCAAATTAGTTAGTTAGGTCTTAATTTTAAGCTAGTTGTTTGGGTGTAGTAAGTTAATAAATCAGATCTACATAAGTTTTTGTTATTGTTATTGTCATTAATTTACTTGTGTGTTTTTGTATGCGGGATGATGAGAAGGTTTGCTTTTAAGAGAGCAAAAAAAGCACTTTTTATTATTATAAATGCATAAAAAACACAACCTCACCTTCACTTCTCTATTTAATTATATCTTTCTTACTAGATGTCAGAAGAACAAAAGATACATAAAAACAAGAAGGGATAGAAGTCAAACTAGTAGGATTTGGTGTGGGCATGACTATGAATGGTTGGAATTAATGATAAAAAGTATGATTTAAGTGTGAATTGATATCTGAATAGTTGAAAGAGAAAGTAAAAGTTTAAGTTATAAAATGAATTGAGATTTGAACTATTAAGGTTTAGTATTTGGATTAGGTTGGATTTATACAATAACCTATCAAATAGATGCATGATGAATACTTAAAATTCGATCAGGTTTGGGTCAAGTTCAGGTAAAAAATTTTGTTTGATTTTGGATATAGATATTACAAAATCCAACCCATGAATACCTATTGTCATTTTTAGTTGGAAATTAGTGTTGTATCACCATTTTAGCAATGACATCCACTTAAATCAATTCCTAAGATTATTCTCCAAAAAACATTGTTGATAAGTTTTTAAGGTTTTATTAATGATATGATTGTGTATTTATTTATAAATGATATACAATTGAAATGTGAGATTATACTCCATGAATGTTGAAGAGTTCATGTCAAAGCTTGCTTATAAATATTGGATCCTTATTGGTTACCATATTCTTTGGTAACTCATGTAGCTTAATAACTTATATAGCTTAATGACTTATTGTGCAAACACTTGTGTCACCTTATATATTGTGTATGGATGAATTATAGAAGAGAAGTGAGCATACCAAGATAACATATGCACTATAATTAAAATAACAGTGAACTGATTGGAAAAAAGTAACCCTTTAATAAAATTCATTGAGATATAAGATTATGTTTTAGCTAGAATAAAAAGATGTTAAAGTAGACCTTACGGTTCAGTATTTTCCAACTTAGCTTTTTAGCTAGTATCATACTACTTGATGTAT